TAGGTTTGATTCCCAGAGCCCATCATGATGGCTCACAGCCACCTATTACCCCAGGTTCAGAGAATCCGACACCCTCTTCTGACTTCCATGGGACCCAGGCATTGCAAGCAAAACATCCATATACATAAGAAATAAATACAATTCAAAAATGTTCAGATACTAAAACTTGGAAAGTAAAAAGTCAAGAAGGCAAAAGTTAAAGCTACTCAGATTTTAATTCCTAACTCAATCACTACTTCTACTATAATCATTAATTTCTGGATAACTATGGTAAAGTTATCCAGAAATTACTAATATTGACAGAGAAATGACAATATAAAATATGAGGTAAACACTGATATTCATATATGTCATGCAGCGCTCACATCAGCACTCTGTGCACCTGAAACTGAACTACTTAACCTTGACCATCTGTGTTTTAAAATGAGCAAGGGATATACTCAGTATGTGCTCAATAAATGTCTGTAAACTGAATAAGAAATAGTTCTCATAAAGAAAAAATACTGATTCTTCTCTGTTATACTTAGATTTGAAAATCTACTGTTTCTTTTCCTTGTGAGGGTAGTAAGAAATATGTAGTTAAGTCATTATCTGAGAGCTTGTGGAATTCATATTTTAGAAAATTACCTAATGTACTTTCTTAAATCATAGCAATTGAGATGGTGTAACAGTAGCCTTTTCTATTAAGTATTACCAGAACTACAGACTTGCTAATGCATTAATGGGAGCTGAGAAAGACTCTAATGAAACAAAACAAAGAAGTGGGTGTGATCATACCGTTGCTGGGATAATCTCTGGGTTATATGCCACATCTCCAGTCCTCAAGGATTTCTGTACCTCATGGATATGATTTTTTATATCATTTACAGTTGGAAAAAAGGATAAATTATGTCTTTCAGGTACCTCATCAGGTTTGAACAGCTCTCTTTCCACAAATTTTCTGTGGAGGATATAAAATAAAAATATAACTGTAATGATGCACTTATAGACTGAAAGTTTTTCTTTCAAATATAAGCTTTTATAAAGTATGATTCATATTTCTATAAACAATTCATATGTATGCAAATAATTTTGTAAATAATAAAATATCAGCCACTTTAAATTTCTTTCTGTTCATTAAAACATAGAATTTGCCAGGCGTTGGTGGCACACGCCTTTTATCCCAGCACTCAGGAGGCAGAGGCAGGTGGATCTCTGTGAGTTCGAGGACAGCTTGGTCTACAGAGCGAGTTCCAGGACAGGCTCTAAAGCTACAGAGAGAAATTCTGTCTCAAAAAAAAAAAGAAAGAAATAAAGAGAGAGAGAGAGAGAAAGAGAGAGAGAAAGAAGGAAAAAGAAAAACAAACAAACCAAAGGTGAAAAAAAGATGCTATTTTTTAATTTGTGTTTGTTTGTTTGTTTGTTTTTCAAGAGAGGGTTTCTCTGTAGTTTTGGTGCCTGTCCTGGAACTCCCTCTCTATACCAGGCTAGCCTCAAACTCACAGAGATCTACCTGTCTCTGCCTTCCAAGTGCTAGGATTAAAAGCTTGCACCACCGCCACCCAGCAAAAGGTGCCATTTTAATTGGTTCAAATCACACATATTACAGAACTTCAACATTTTATTTTGTTTGTTTGTTTGTTTCAAGACAGGGTTTCTCTGTGTAAACTACACGGGCTGTCCTGGAACTCACTCCGTAGATCATGCTGGCTCAAACTCACAGAGATCCACCAGCCTCTGCCTTCCAAGTGCTGGGATTAAAAGTGTGTGCCACTACCATCCAACTGAGCTTGGACATTTTTATGAATTAAACTTGGACCACAATCCTCAATTTGAACATTATAATGTTTTTAAGTGCTTACCATATCAGACACAATTCTGAACACACTACAGGTATTTCCTTCAACTATTACTGTGACCATGTGACCCGGTGTAAGAATCAATTCCACCTTACAGATGAGGGAGTTGAAGGCTGGACAAGTTGAAGTTGCCCTGAATTATATACCTGTTTAATAAGTAAGAAAACATGGACCTATTTCCAATTTGTATATGTAAACATCATGTTACACTGCTTCCAAAGGTACCAATTAATACTACATGAAACTTGATGGTTCGAATATTGTAAGACAATAAGATTTCGGAAGGCAAGATAGTGTAAGAAAAGTAGCATTGCTACACAGTTACATGTTTGATACATTTGTGCTTTATGTATTACGTTTACTAGATCTGCAGAGTTGCATTACTTCTCTATTCTCGTTGAAGCTCTTTTTAAATAATTTGAAATAAATAGAATAAGAATTTTAAAAATTTGAAATAAGTAAAATAAGCCAAATTTTAGTAAATAGTGGATGGCTTTACTAAATTTAGGCTTTGTTCTGTAGGCAACTCAATGAAAACAAATGTTAAAGATTCTAAACAGAAAGGTTATACGGTGACTGAAAAGTAATGCTTGTCTGCTCACTGTAGCTGTGCACACTTTGAATCCCAGCACTCAGGATGCAGAGGCAAGTAGATCTCTATGAGGCTTGGTCTACATAGTGAGTTCCAATCTAGCCAGGGCTAAACAGTGAGACCCAATCTCAAACAAACAAAAACTAATTCTTATAAGTACTCATTTTGTTACTCAGATTTCAGTACACAGTAAACAAAAGGAGCAAAGTATCATAATATTACACACAGGCTATAGAGCCAGATCCAGGTTTCAGTTCTGACTCTGTCTTTCAAGGCAATTACTTAGCAATTTTTAATTTCCATTCATTTTTCCATGTGTAAAATAATATATTTAAAGATTTGGCAGAATATGTGATATGCATCTATCAATCATTTTATTACAATAATTATCATTGTAGTTAATCTGGATAGTTATTCATCTAATAAAAAAATTCTTTTTTCTTTTTTCAAGACAGGGTTTCTCTGTGTAGCCCTGGCTGTCCTAGAACTAGCTCTGTAGACCACGCTGGTCTTGAACTCATAGAGATTCACTTGCTTCTGCTTTCTGAGTGCTGGGATTAAAGGTGTGTGCCATCACCTCAAGCCTAATGGAACTTTTATTTGTAGTATTTTGAAGTATCTTTAATGGGTACTCAAGATAATTAATGTTGTAGTGATACATAACATATATATAATTGAATATAACACATTGTTATAGTAAATAGTTTAACTTATCATCTTTTTAAAAATCAAATATTTTAATTTTTGAGAACATCATACATGTATATATTCTATTTTGATCATATTCATTCCCCATTACAATAAAATTCTATTTAATTAAAATAATTAAAATAATTACTTTAATCTAGGTTTTTAATTTTCTGATTCTATACATTTTTATCTCAAAAATATGTATCATGTCATTCAATTCATTTTGGGAATAGTGACTCACACCTGTAGTCCCAGCACTTAGTTACCTGAGATAGGAAGATTGCTGAAAACTGGAAGCCAACCTGGGCTATATAAGCGAAATAAAGGCTAGGAAGACCTTAGCTAGTAAAATAAAATAAATTCATCACGTAGAAATAGTCTAATCTGCCAAAGATTTAGTGTCTCAAATGAGCATTTAGAATTATATTAAGAAATACCATATGAAGCTTGCCAAGCATTGGCTGAAAACAATGTTCACAGGTGAGATGCAGAAACACACTATGTCCCTCTACTAGCATATGTCCTGGAAAATCAATGCTTAGTGTATCACTTAGGCAACCAGTGTAAAAGAAAACGCTGCTTCTCCTGTACCTGAGCTGCTTCCTCACTGCATACACTTGTCCTACTCCCTGAGACACTAATTCCTGAATCTTATGCGCTACTTGCGGGTGGAGACGTGAGGGCAACGCACAGTTCTCATCTCTGACTACAGTTTCCTCTTCTTCAAGAGAAGACATAGGAAAAGGAGATGGTGACAGAGAGAGGCCACGAGTCTCTAATTCATGATACTGATGAGCTTGTTGTGTAGGTAACTGCACATACCATCTGATAAGAGAAAACATTTGAAATAATTAAAATTTAAATATTAAAATTTGATTAATTCAGACAAAAGTGGGAATCATAATTACTTAGGCTAATATGCATCAAGAGAGGGAATAATCTTTTAAACAAAAATCACATATGATTATGCTATGTAAAATAAAATTTAAAATGTCTTATGTTCAACTCCTCTAAGATTGACTTTATACTCAATTAAAAAGGTAACTTCATAAACTTTTACTATGACCCTAACATTAAGGCAATGTTTACACATATATGAGAGTAGAGGGATTGCTCAGAAGTTAAGAGCACTTGCTGATCCACATGGTAGCTCACAACCATCTGTAACTCCAGCTCCAGGGTCCCAAAGCTTTTTTCCAATTTACATAGGTACCAGGCATGCACATGATACACACACACACACACACAGAGAGAGAGAGAGAGAGAGAGAGAGAGAGAGAGAGAGAGAGAGAGA